ACGCCATTGAGGGCCGCGTTCAGTCTGGTTCTCGCGAAGCTCATGTTTGGGCTCATAAATATGAGGCTTGCATTCTAAAGTAGAAACATGGAGCTCAGGGTCGCGTTTAAGCTCATGAACGTGAAGTTCGCGTTGGTTGGAGGATCGATTTTCTCAGAGTTGTGCTCGTCGCTGAGACCTTCTTCTTCGACGAGCAGCGCTCTTCTTGGCCTGTTTTAAGGCTTTTGCAGGGGCATCATCGACGTTGATTGGATCTATCTCCGTCGTAGGCCTTTTACCACCCATGACACGTCGTGTTGATGCGGGTGTGGAGTTTTCAACTCGTTGAACGAGTTTGGCAAAGGCAGAGCCCAGTCCTTCAGAGGAGGGGCTGTTTGATGAATTTTGGCTAAAGGAGAGGACTTTCTTTGGCACTCCAGCAACAGTTGGAGATTTAGTCGCCTTGGAGACTTTGTGGATCTTGCGCATAGCCTTGGGGCTAAGGGATCCGGAGGAGAGAGCCTCCTCGAACTTGGCTTGATCGAACTCGATGATCAGAGTTTCAACGGTCGTTCCAATGAGCATGACGTCGGATTGCGTCACCACTTCTTCGTCAGAGAAGCTGATCCCCAACGGAGTCGCCATCTTTTGTTTGTGAGAAAAATTCGATGTAAAAGAAATGAAAGAAAAATTGATCTGTATTCTCTCAAAATCGATTACAATTTGGATTCCGATTACAAAAGAGAGGAGAATGAATTTGATTCTCCCCTTTGTTTAAAATTGGGTTCTTCACGGTGGCGATGGAGTGCCTCCCTCGAATGCTCACGTCGAGTTTGCTCTCCGTTGATGATCCGAATATCTTGATTCACTGGAACAATATCTTCCCCTCACAATTTGATGTTGTGGAGAACTTGCGTGGCAAGTTTAAAACTCTGGACGAGTTGATAACTCTGGACGAGTTGGAAACTCTTGAAAAAGAGTTGATTTGAACTGAGGATCGGTTCTCAAGCCAAGGCCGAAGGCTTCAAGGATTGCTCCAAAGGATGAATGCTGATCTCTCAATCTATGATGCTCCAAGATCTCCCCCTTTGCTGCTAAGTCCCAGATCCAAAAAGCCAGCCTGGACTCCATTGAGTTTACCCATATTTATAGGGAATTAAGGGGTGTAACCGTCCCCTTAATTCTCTCCATAATGGGGTTGAGAGGGGTGTATCCCCCCCTTAATCCGCTCTCAAGTGGGGCAGAAATCCCTCAGATCATGGAGGGAGAACGGTTCCTACAACCGTTCAGCTCGTGTTTGAACGAGTCAAACGCCCACGTTGGCGTTCAGGACCCTAACTCCGCATTTTAGACTGGAGATGCGAAGTTGGGTACCCGCTGGGCATTGAAAAACACGGGTCCGACCCCAGCATTTTAATATTGTAACGCGGGTCCGACTCTAGCGTTTTGATGTTGTAACGTGGGTTCGACCCTCGCGTTTTACTGTTGACACACGGTGAGGACCTCCGCATTTTGGTGTTGATACACAGGGAGGACCTCCGCGTTTTGGTCTTAGAGCGCGGTGATGAGTTCCGCGTCTTGCTTTGGAGAGATTATCAACAAGTAATCTCTTTTGTCATAGCGTTGCAAAGATCATTGTCTTGTAATCTTCGTCTTGGCTCCTTGAGAATATGAGAGTCGTCAGATTATAACTCCCGATGTTGATTGTAAATACTATTGAACTAGAGCTCTCATCGGTTGTCATGAAGGTCGTCAGATTGTAACCTTCAGCGATCTACGTGAAAGTCTTCAAATTGTAGTCTTCTGGAAGTCGTCAGATTATAACTTCCATCATCGGTTTTTGATGGGGGATAAGCTATCTATTGTGATTTTTAGACAGCCTACAATTGGCTTTAATTATTCCTCTTGCTATTTGTAAAACCCCAAAAATTTGTGATAATTTAATTAATGTGTGATTAATTATAATAAGTAGATATTTATTATGATAAATATTATTTTATGGTGTATGAGTACACTAACAAGTATTTTGAGTATAAACAAGTCAGTAAATGAGAAAGAGGCGAATCGAAAACATGCACAAAGGCAAATCTCAAGGAGCTAAAAAATTCCAGTCCGGTCGACCACCGCGGTCGACCACAGTCCGGTCTGCCGTCACGGTCGACCGCGATACCTGCACGCTGTTTTTCCTATTTTGACTTGGTTTCGATTTTTAAAGGCCCATGTTCATTTTTTCTAATATATATATATATCAATTATTCATGAGGTTTTCATTATTTTGAAATCCTAGCAGTCACCAAACTCCCCTATAAACCCTAATTTGATTTTTGAGAAAGATTTGAAGGATTTTGAGCGAGATTTCGGGTTGTTTTGGGTTTACAACTTGGAGATCGGCTTTGAAACTTCATCTCTCATAATTTAGATCAAGTCTCAGGCGAGTTTCATCTCTGCTAATCTCATCCCTGTTTTAAAATATTTTTAAAGAGTTTTTAATAAGTTTTATAGAGCCTAATTGATTAATTTGTGTAAATAAAAGCAGATCTTTTATATTATATATATAAAGACTAGGTCTTTTCATATTAAAGAGATTAAGAATGAATTTATAGAAGTGTTTTAAGATCTAAAAATGATTAATAACGTTTTTTTATCTTAATTTAGATGATTTGTTCTTCGTTTTGAGGTTTCGTGCATGATTGAGGGTTTAAATATGATTTATTATACAAATAATCATGTTTATATGTTAAAATTGTCTCCAGAGATGTTAATCTGCTGTTTTTAATGTTTCATGCAAGTTTCATATTGTATTAAACAAGTTTAAATTACAAGAACACGACACGAACACAACTGTGCAGAAACATGCACGATTTCTAAAAATATCGGGTTCGATCGATCGTGCCTAAGCGACGGTCGACCGTATGCCAGACAGAGGCCTGGGAAGCTTATGGTTTGTGGTTCGGTCAACCGCCACATGTATGCGGTCGATCGCCAGTCTGGCAGTTAGCATGTGCATGTTTGTGACCCACGTTGATGTTTTCGAGAGAATTTCTCGATCTTGTAATGTTTTATGATGAGGTTTAGGAGTTGTTTAATACTTGAGATGTTGGTGAACATCAGATATGGACACACACACCGAGATATGTGCACGTACACTTGGTTCATGTGATTTGACATGTATTGTTAAGATAGTTGATACACGTTGGGTTGATGATAATGAATTAACCTATGAAAAAGTTTTGTTTATCAGTTATGGATGCTCAATGTGGTTGTTTATCCTGTAATGAGACCTCGACTATACCATACTAGGAGTATTTGATTGTTTTCCCGTAATGAGACCTCGGCGATACCAAATACTCGAAGATGATCGGTGTGTTTTCCAGGTTGGGCTGATGTGTCTATTCACCGTTGTATGATCATCCGGAAGCATATTCAAAAATAGAGAGATAAAACCTATTATCGTAGAACGATTGAGTAAGAAAGTTGAACCCACATGTAAACGTGCAAACCTTACAAAAGTATCGTTAATTCATGTAGCCGGAATAGGGAGATAAAACCTATTGTCGCAAAGCGATTGAGTAAGAACCTTACAAGAGTATGGCTATATGCACGTGGAGATGCACATATATATATTTACAGTTGTAGTTTTGCTCCCATGTTAGATTAACCATGAGTAGGATACATCCTTTAATATATGGTATACATGATAGGGCCCATGGTGATTATGAATTGAGTGATATTCTCTTATTATTGCGTCACTACTCGAGGGTACTATGAGATATGACATTGTTTTCTATATGGTTGAGGTTTGGAGTATTTCTTTTGAGTACTGTTTTAATTCATAGAGTTAGAATTAGTATTTAGGGATTCACAATTTAAGACATGGTATATACATGAGAGTTTTCTTGTTTAGATTATTTCGCTCGATGTACTAATTCTCGTATTGTGGATTTCTAAATATCAATCTCCATTTAGAGTTATATGAATGATTTTATACTGATATGTATTGACTCTATTTTCTTATATACTCCTACCTTTTTCCCCTTGGGAGCGGTGGAGATGATCTCACTAGCGTTTTGACGCTCGTTGGCTTTCCCCCTTTCAGACAGCGAGTCCGGAGCACGAAGAGTCGCAGGTTGATGGGATTGCATCTTAGATTCTATCTAGATATTATTATATTTGTAGCTATCTCAGAACTCCACATTTAGTTGTTCATTTTCAGACTCTAGACTTGTATTGTATTTTTTAGAGTCTGAGTGCCTTAGTGAGATTATATTTGACTCATTGTATTGAGATTTATTTCAGACTCAGGGTTATTTTTATTCTATTTTAGTTTGGCTCATTTATTGATTATTCTTATACTTTTTCTGTGTATATCTAATCTTGTACTATTTCTATTATTTGCCTGTTTTGTACCTTCACCTTTTGTTGACTCTACTAGAGAGATAGTAACTGTGATGGTAAAACGTGTCGTAGCATGGTGTTGGTGCTTAGCAGGTTTGACAATCCGTGTTTCACTTTGGACTGCAGCCTTGCGTGAACCCTGGGACGTCACACTATTATAATGTTATTTTTTAAAGTATTTTTTTACTTTTGCAACGCTATACTTAGGCAAAGTTTCATTTCATGTCGATCCAAATAACATAAATATTCGAATTAGCTTCATGTTGGTTTCGTGTCAATTCAATTATCAACATGATAATTGGGTGTAACCCATTCAAACAAACATTAAAAAAGATAAATAATCACAGTATTAAATTTTAGAGGCATAAGTGAGCAAAAACTATCAAATTGAAATTGAAGAACAAATTTTAGTAAGGAAATAAACTAAAAATAAATAATTATGATATTTAACCACGTGCAATGCACGTGCGTAAAAACTAGTATAACTAAAATTCCAAGATTAAATTGAAACCCTGCTCATAACTCAGCTCTGAAATAAAACTTCACCATGCGACCAAAAATATATACAATTTGCAGGACAAAACAGTCATATATTTCTTGTAACAAAAGAATAGCTTCACATTCTATCTACAAAAAAGAATTGTCTACTTACAGAAATTACATTCTCTCAGGGTTGAGCAAAAATCCATGGTACCCCCAGCAAACACAATGCAGAAGGGATCATGAAACAGCCCAGAAAAAAGAAATCTACATATGATGTATAACAAAACAAAGCCAAAAAAAACCAAAAAAAAAAGTATCTTTGCATTAGGACGATTGTATCAACCTCCCTTTCCTTTTATTGTACCTGTATAGGGGCCTTCTAAATGATCTACATCTTCTTTAATTTTGGAAGATTGAGAGAGATTGTAGGAGGAGAAGGGAATCCCATATAAGCCAATCTAGGAGAAAGCCTTACCCCAGGGCTAGGCCTAGGAGAAGGTATAGGGCCCTTGTTTCCATTAGGCGAAGGGATAATCCTTGGCGACAAGTTAACGTGCTCCAGCGCCCTCGACTGTAAATTGCTAGGGTAGTCTCTGACGCATCCAATACGTGGACCTGCACCCGTGCTCCATTGACATTGCAGGCGTTTGTGTGATTTTTGTGTGTTTAGTTTGAGTTTGAGTCCATTCCTCGATGGCTCTTTAGGGTGCATTTCTTTTTCGTTGTCACTGTCATCTGCACAAATGTGATCCTCTTGTACGTTGTTTTCTTTCCCTTTGATCTTTATTGGTTCGTAATCTATCTGCTTGAATGAGGGGTATTCTTCGCGATCAATTGCACATCTCTGGAGATATATTAGGTGGATAGAGGTTAGATATAGGTATAGATAAAACATATGTTCTTTTATAAAAACATTGAGGACTGATATTTCAGATACAACATTGAGAATGAAGACCTGAAATTTTACCTTGACATCTTTGAGGTCTACTCCATTCTCCTCCAGGTACTTGATGAATTCTCTGAAGTTTTCTTCGGTTGGTAGATAATGACCACTGTATGGCCAAACAAACTGAAGGAAAAAAAAAGGATAATTAAAATCCATAAAAGTAATTCATATGAATATGGTACACATTTCTTGTATCATATATGACATACCTTGAGAATTCCGTGTTTTACTACTAGCCTTCCTGCAGAGGATATAGCTCCTCCAGACAGAAAACTCGAGTGCTGAAATTTTCCCTTCTTCTTCTGCAAAAAGAATAAGAGCGAAAAATGTTTAGATGAAATTTGCTACATTGGTTTATTGATTCAACATATGTACTGTTTTTACCTTGCCAACATATAATGCTCTCAATGTGCTGAGGACAAATATCCATTTAGAACCTTCAGCCGTGTTGACAAACTCCCCACTTTGCTTATAGACAAGCTTCCCTTCCTTCACGACGACTTCATATGCCTCTCTTTCGTTCTGCATAATTTGGAACAGAAACCATGATAAAATAAACTTATCAGATGGAAGCAAAATTTTCACAAAATGTCAAAGAACATGAAATTGAATTAGGAGCATACTGGTCCAAGATATTTGATGCACTGATTTTGAAGAGTGTTTCTTGGACACTTTTCAAGGTTCACTTCTTTGCCATCTCCAATGTCTAACCTTCAATTACAAAAGAAAATTATGCATTAAGCAATCAACCATTCATCAATATGATAATGATAGAGGATGATATTTGTTAGTTTAATATATTTACCAGTAGAAGAACGGTTGTGTGCTCTCACTCCTGAACCAGACATCATAGTAGAAGTGTAAATTATGCCCATATCGATGTCGTGGATCAATCTGTATATAATTGAAGAAATAGATTAGCAAATTTATTTATGACACAATTATATAGAAGTCTAATATTGGTAATATTGAGACCATTACATACCGCTTCTAGCCAATGTTGAAGAGCTAGCTTTTGAGCATTGACACTCTTTGACAAACCCTTACCAACCTAAAATAAAAAAGAAATGCGCTATCAAAATGATATTAATATGAACAAAAGAGAGAGCCGTTAGTCTCATTCTTGAGGTAGATTGGCGAGAAATTAATTACCTTGGCTGCCCTTGTTCGAGCTCTTGCCCAACGAGAAACAGCAGTTTCAGGCTTTCCATCATCAAAAAAAGACACTGAACTCCTCTTTAGCGACGCAAAATCTAGTGCCTTCCACCTTTAATGTAATATATAAAAAAAGCGAGATTTTTGTAAGATGATGAACAATTCCCAATCCAATACCTAATTGAACAACAAAAGTATGATATAAACAAAACACATACCAAAGTTCTTCAATCACAACTGCACAATCTGCCAGGTTTCTTCTGGTTCGATAACTCTTATAAACTTTCTGCAGCTTAACTGCAGCTGCATCAAGTTCGCTTATGGGCCTTGGTGATGAGCACATTGCAGAATTTTTTAAGCTTTCATCGCAATGGTTTTGTTTGAAACTAATCGACGACTTCAGTGTCATCTTGGTATCCTCATGGTTGAAACTGATAGATCTCACTACTACATCTTCGATATCTTTTCTCAAACTGGCAATCTTGTTCCTTGCAATTTCAACCCATGCGAATGAAAATAAGGAAATCGTCAAACCCATAGACAGTTCAATAGCTCAGTTCTGAAATTGATGTAAACTCCTGCAAAAGAAGGAACCAGAAGGTTTAAATTGATACTTAGTATGAGATCATCATGTCAAGCTAATGCACCAAGGAATATAAAAAAAAAATTTAAAAAGGAAAATAAGCATTCAAGCAAATATTAGAAAATCATCGGTGCAATTAAAAGGTCAGTATATTTTTCTACTTTCGAAATTCAACATGCGTACACATAATAAAAGAAAAGTCTACGCTTATCCTGCAATGTGACTTCCACAGCAAATTATACGCATGTTACTATATAAGGTGAGTTACTGTGTATTTATAGCGTCAATTTTCCTCTTGATCATAAGAGCATATTCATAGAAGTAGCTAGAACACTAGATTTAACAGTAAACGCATAGCTTAAAATAAAATTAGCTCCATGTACTTAACAAGAAAAGAAGGAAAAGACGTCGGAAAAGTACCCAGTTTTATCAATTCCAATGAGAAAAAGAGGACGAAGGTTTCGAAGAATGAAAATGTCCATACTGATCAAAATCATGCCAAAAAATTCACAGAACTGCAAGTGAATCAAATAAAACAGCATGAAGAGGCACAACTGCGATCACTGGAATATACCCAACAAACAAAAAACAATTGAAACCCAATCAAAGGTTGCATCTTGTTCAACAATTGGAATATTCCAGTAACTACAAGAATTCAATGCACTGCCTATCATATCAAATGAAATCAAAGGATTTTTTTTTAAAAAAAAAGCCGACTACCCATTGAAAGCATCGAAGCTGATCACAAGACCAATTCAGGCAGATGAAGCAGAGCAAGCATAGCACCTCAATTCTCTATAACAGAAGTAACTGAAACCCAACAAAGATCAAAGGAAACCCAACAAGAGTTTCCCTGCAAATGACAAGATTTAATCTCTGTACCTGAGAGACTCCAGCTAAGAAACACCCAAGAACTTGAATTGGTAGAGGGAAGGAGATGAGAAACAAAACAGGGGAATGCTGAACAAAACGGCAGAATCCTTCGTTGTATATATATATATAGTTTTTTTGAAGGCCAAGAAAGAGAGAGGGTAGGGGCCTCTCTCTATCAAGAAAAATCCAAGAGGAAAGAAGTCTTTCATGCCCTTCAACTAACCAGAAAAAGAGACACATGTCCAAAGACTGCTGAGAGCTTGATTCGGGGATCAAACCAAAAGGGTTTTGTGTCATGAATGGTGATAGGGGCACACCCAAACCACACCACCAACCACACTCTCCTCTCTCATTTGCTACAGTACACGGGGCCTCACATGGAATTTTAAAAATTTAAAATCTCATGTGGGGTCCTGTGTACTGTAGCAAATGAGAGAGGAGAGTGTGGTTGGTGGTGTGGTTTGAGGTGTGCCCCTAACATTTCTTTTGTGTCATTAGGAGTCACTGATTACTAATTGGAAATAGAAAAATGGGGATAGTAATTTAAAAAGAATAAATAAACTTGACAAAAGGCTCTAGAACTTCTGCTTTTGGGCGTTTTGCAAAAAACCTCTCCAAATTTTGTACGTTGATGATGATCCCAACATTATTTTGAAAATTATAGAAAATCTTGTAGACTATTGGAAAATGTCATAGACGTAAGTGTAGAGTTAATATATAAATCTAAAAAATGTGACCCCTTGTTCTCCCGCGTGAATGTTTATCACTCAAAATTTTTTATCACAAACTTTATTTATTTTTTTCGAAAGTTGAAACTAGTACCATACTAATTTAGGATTATTCTAATGATTCAATGGGTTTTAGCGTAACTTTGAAAGTTTAGAGGGATTGGTTTATAAAGCTCGAGGAGACCTTATGCAAAATACTTCAAGTATTAGGAGGTTCGTGAAGATACTATTAAAAAATTAAAAAGGAGGATTTTGTTAAGGTGCAAAATAAAGTGAAGGAAGGGGGGCAGTTGTCAAAGGATTCGTTTTCTTAGGGGTGGGGGCGTTTGGACCATTGAAGAGTTCAAATGAAGAGGTTTGGTTTTAAAGGGGGCAAGGACTAGGGTTGGGTGGTAGTGGGTCAAAGTTGAGAGCTTTTGGGGGATTTTCTCCCAAGTTCTTTGAAGGCCGACATGGTCAAACTAGTCTTACTATGAGTGATCTAGATTGGGGTAGGAATTTGGGGTGTTTTTAACCTTATTTTTCAATGATATGGTGAGATTGCAAATTGAAACATTATCACGAGGTGGACTAATCGAGTCATCAAATTCATGATCCATACCATACATCTTGCTCAAAATACCATTAAATGTATATGGTTAAATTTTTATATAATTTGGAATCTTCTAGAATATGAACCAAACTAGTTTAATATGTTAATTTTTAAAATAGCTTAATAGTCGTCCCTTTTATACATAGATAAAATATTAAAAATTTTAAAATGATATAATTTTTTCTATGTATAGATTATAAAGAGTGCAAATTACGATGGTTGGGACCGATCATCATTTCCGGTAACCTATTAGACTATATTGGCCGACTCTCTCGCTAAGAAACTGTTAAACCCTAGAGGGGGGTGATTAGGGTCTCTTGCTAATCTAATCCAATATTATGCCAAATTAAAAGTTATATTGAACTTTTGTTCTTGCAAAGATATATATGCAATATGATATGAGCAAGAATGTAAAAGGTAACAACGAAATAAATGTGCGCAAAGCAATCACAAACACACGATATGATCACGGAGTTCGGTCCCCACGACTTACGTCTCCGCTCTTCACCTTGAGGAGATCTACACTATCATTACACACCCGGTTTGGAAGTCAGAACTTCTTCTACACACTCGGTTATCAAGTTAACCGACAACTCTCACAAATCCTCACAATGTACATACACAAGCTACAACCTCAAGTGTTGGTCCTCACGTATCGCCTGCTCGGAATTACCACCTCTCACTAGGCTTTTACAACCGACGACACTCCTCTCGGTATCGACTACGTCCTCACCACACATTCCTCTTGGTGTACAAGTGTATTACAATGTGATCTCACAAATAAGTACGAATACAAGAAATGTTGTTCTCTACAATTGACGAGAACTCAATTAAGCTCACTCTTACTAGATCACACACCACTACGTAACAATATATTGTATGAAATATAATAAGCTCAACAAATGTGTGTGATAAAAGCAAGTAATAAAATTGCAACTCAATTAATATAGCTAAGATGAAAATATGAGCAATTGATCAAAGAGCTATATAAACGGAGTTTAGAAAACTTCTCAATAAACAAGAGGAGATGAGGATGTGATCCTCAATTGAAGTTGAAACAGCTTCTTCTTGTAGTGCAACTCCTCTTTTGTATCAAACCAACAAACAAGGCTTAAACACCTCTTAAATACTTCTTAAATCTTTTATAAACTTGATTAAACAAAACTCTTGCTTAGTTGAGGAGTTGAATGCATAGGGGTATTTATAACAACTCCAAACAGTAACAAAAACCAATGTAAAAAGACCAAAAACCCAAACAACAAAGCTGCTGGAAACTAGCCGTTACTGTTCAACAACTAGCTTGGCGGTAGACCGCAGAGACAGGTCCAGTCGACCGCGAATAGTTGAACAAACAAGGAAAACAGACTGGATCAATGGCGATCGACCGCAGCGCCAAGGGCGGTCGACCGCGAGCTGTTAAAAGCATAGCTGAGTCTCTGGAAAAATGACCGTCGACCGTAGAGCCAAGGACGTTCGACCACGATCTGATATAAAAACAGAAGCAATCACTGAATGAAGTGCGGTTGACCGCAGAGACACATGCGGTCGACCGTGAGTTGATAAAAACAGTTTTTCAGGTTTGAAAAGAGGATTTTTGTTGACATGTTAAAACCATCAAACAAGCTCTAAAATTTATGAAATTTGAGGAAAAGTTTATAAACATGTCAATAAACATTTTGGTAAAGAAATTTTTTAAATTGCATTTCTATTTTAGAAAAATTACTGTTTCCTGTAAAAGACACTGAAATACATGTTTTATATGATTTTTGACTTTTGACTTAAAAACATGTTTTGCAAACTGATAGGAGATGCATATGAACATAAATAGAGATGTTGAAAGTGAGGAAACAGTCCAAAATACTTAGACACACATTTTGCATAAAAGTCCTATGTTATATTTACGTATATATATGTGTGTGTGTGTTGAGCTTAACAGACTTCACACAACATATCAAACCTATTATCAAAATATAGACATAAGAAGCTTGATCTTGATGGGAAGTTGAATTTGCATAAGCTTTAATATCAGTTGATTTGCCTGACTTGTGTATATGACACGAACATGCTAAAAACAATCATTAGTCATAAATTGTTTGTAAGACCATCATCAAAATAAGAGGGAAACTTAAGTGAACAATCCATCAAAGTTTCTATTCATTGATGATACTTAAAGATCCGTGCATCATATGAAGAGACTTTTCATCAATGGATAGAAACTTTAGTGGATGATCCACTTAAGTTGATATAAGTTTCTTTCTCTCTCTTTCTCTCTCTATATATATATTATATAATTGAGTAGGATTAAGTACATGGGCTTAGATTGTTGTCACACATTGTACGGAAGTAGTGACTTCCTCTAGCCCTTTCTTTTACCTTCCTACTGCATCTCTTCCTATATATTTCTTCATGTGTATTACGTAACCATTTTTTTTAAGTTAATAAATTTGCTGGGTACTTTGCCTAAATTTATCCCAAGGAATAATGCTGATTTTACCAACATTGAAACATTGTGTACGTTAAGACTTTATTACTATGATGAAAACTTTCTTACCTTGAAAAATTATTGCAGGCTCATTGAGTATCATTAATATATGCTCTAATTTAATCAAATCGTAACATGTGTCACTAGTAGAAAAACGATCAACCTAGACGGAAATTTCCGTCTAAGTTGATTGAAATTCCGTCTAGATTAGGTCATCTAGACGGAATTCCGTCTAGTTTGAGTGGTTTATTTTGCTTCCGTCTAGATTGATACAAACTAGACGGAATTCCGTCTAGGTTGATCAATCTAGACGGAAGTCAACCTAGACGGAATAAAGAATTTCATCTAGGTTGACAGACCAGACGGAATTCCATCTGTTCTGTCGACCTAAACGAAAATTCCGTCTAGGTTGACAAACCAGACGGAATTCCGTCTTGTCAGTAGACCTAGACGGAAATTCCATCTAGGTTGACAGACCAGACGGAATTCCGTCTTGTTTGTAGACCTAGACGGAAATTCCATCTAGGTTGACAGACCAGACGGAATTCCGTCTCGTCTGTAGACCTAGACAGAAATTTCGTCTAGGTTGACAGACCAGACGGAATTCTGTCTGGTCTGTCAACATAGACGGATATTCCGTCTAGGTTGGTTTTTTACAACCTAGACGGAAATTCCGTCTAGGTTGACTCAATATAGACGGAATTCCGTCTAGATTGCCTTTTTTCAGGGAAAAAAATTAATTAAAATTTGTATTTCCCTGTACAATTACATTAATATTTGAATACATTCAGAAAATATTGTACACGCCACATTCAACCATCCAATCATAATCAAAATTCATAACAATTCCATTCAAAAACATCTATATAACCAAATCCAACACATTGTACAAATCCAACCATCCACTTCAAAATATACATCAATCAGTTCCGTCTAAAACACATCCAACAACATATATACTAACAATGTACATGACTAAGATATGATACACGACATGAATAAATGTAGCGTTATAACAAATAAAACTGTTTATTGCATTAAAAATAAAAAAACCTTATCCATCATCGTCGGCGGGGGTATCTCTATCCCGATTACGAGAACGGGTGCTGCTCCCTCCAATATCTCCACTCTGAATGTTTAATTGAATAATCATTATGTGGTGTTTGATAACATATTAGATAAAAATAAATTTATAAATATAAGAAAAAATAAGGTACCTGAGCACTACTCTGTCTAGCGCCGGAATTATCGCCAATCGAGCTAATGATCCGTATGACA